ATTAAAAAAAAAAAAAGACTGTTTGGCATAAAGTAAGAGTTTTAGGTAAGATTGCATCCACTTCTGGAACATAGTAGTGCCATTTTGCCTTGCTAGAAATTCCATAAATAGATGTGCCTTAGCAAACTGAGCCTGTCACCTCCCTAAAGTGGAGCTCTTCCAATTCTGCTAACTCTGCATTCCCTTGATGAAAACGTTAATCGCACAACTGTTTTCTTAATCTCGCTCATGCACAACGTCTTTTAAGCGCTTGGCTGACAGCCTGTGACTCATAGTTGATAGAGGCTTTGTATTCTAATAGAGTATAAATCTGAAGGAAGAAAGGCTGATTTCTGGTGTGAACACTGGCTCTTGAGCAAACTGGGCAAATGATTTTAACCTTCTTTTTGTTTGAAAATTAGACTGATTACCCAAGTCTCTTAAAAGCATTTTCTGAAATTTGGTGTTACTTAGAAGTATATGGAACGTTTATATGACCTATTTGAACTTTCAGTGTGTTGGTTATTAGAATGTGGATATGCAATCAAATAACAGTCTGGTAAGTGGCAATGTGAATTTCAGAGCAGATTAGCTCCTCCTCTCAAATGTATACTTTTTACCTGCTCAAATGTATACTTTTTCTTATAGTACACTATAGGGTGCTATAGCCTTTTCCCATTGAAGATAATCTTCCCTTTTTTTTCTGCTAGTTCTCTGGTGGAAAGTGCGCAAAAACTAGCGTTGAGATATCTTTACAAATACTGAATAAAAAATGGCACTGGAGCCAATGATATCTTCATTCTTTCAGCTAAGCAGTGATGAAAATTGGCAGTCTCTGTACTGAGTAACAGTTTTTAGGCTACCCAAACTGCAGCAAATGCTAATAGGTACTAACAATAATATTTATTACTTTTAAGATTCTGACAGTGTGTTCTCAGATATGACAAAATATATGAACAAGTAAACTGTTTAGGCTCAATTCATTTGCCCAGACATAGGCATCTAGTGTGATTCCCTGTAGTATCTGAGACACTTACCTGAGGCTGACAGGTAAAAGAGAGGACCTCTGAACTTTTGGAGAGACGGTTGGATGGGATTCTCCCATGATAGTGAAGGCTGGAAGCTTTCTGACACCGTAAGGATGGCTCCTGCTCCACCTGTGGATTTGCAGCTGCAGAATAGATTCAGTGCCCACATAGCAGATGAGGGGCTGGGAGCTTTGTCAAACAAGGCACCTGAACTGGCAGATCCTGAGCCGCACAGCAGCTCCTGGAGGGAGCAGCAAGTGATAGTGGGCAACTCCCTGCTGCAGGGAATGGAGGGCCCGCATCTGCTGTCCTGACCTGTCATCTAGGGAGGTTTGCTACTGGCCTGGGTCTCAAATTTGGGACTTTGTGGAAACACTGCCAAAGTTTCTCTAGGCCTCCGACTACTACCTCTAATGTCTTCTACCTGGACACCAGTGATTCTGAGTAGGAGACCTGGAGCATATCAATTGTGACTACGTGGCTCTGGGGCTGATCCTCAAGGGTGTGGGGGCTCAGGTGGTGTTCTCTACAGTCCTGACACAAAACAGGGCTGAACTGGGGTCACCCCAAGCATGTGCACGTAAATAAGGAAGTGCCTGCAAGACAGCATTATGGGGAAAGCTCTTGTACCTTTTCTGGAAAATCAGCGTGAGCAGGTGCCTCTCTGAAGTGCCTGTATGCTAATGCATGTAGCATGGGAACAAACAGGGGAATTGGAGGTCTGCATACAGTTGCAGGGCTACAGTCTCAGTGAGATCAGAGATGTGGTGGGACAGCTCACGTGACTAGAATGCTGCAGTGGATGGATACAGGCTCTTCAGGAAAGACAGGCCAGGGCAGCAAGGAGGGGGATTTGCCCTGTATGTGAGAGAGCAATGGGAATGCATGGAGCTCTGCCTTAGGATGGATAGTAAGCCAGCTGAGAGTTTGTTGGTCAGGATTAGCAGGCAAACCAACACAGCAACATTGTTGTAGGTGTCTGCTACAGACCACCTGCTCAGGAAGAGGTAGATGAAGCCTTCTTCAGACAAGTGGAAGAAGCCTCATGTTCACAGGCCGTGGTCCTCATGGAGGACTTTAATGACCTCATGGGGGACTTTAATGGAGGGACAACACAGGAGGGCACAGGCAATCCAGGTGTTTCTGGAGTGCATTAATGACAGTTTCCCGATGCAGATGATTGAGAAGTCAATGAGTAGTGCTCTGCTGGACCTCATGCTTGCAGAGAAGGAGGAATTGGTGGAGCATGTGTAGGTTGGGGGCAGCCTTGGCTGCAGTGGCCATGAGATGGTATAGTTCAGGATCCTGTGAGGAGGGAGCAGGGTGAACAGGAGGATCACAGTCCTGGACTTCAGGAGAGCAGACTTCATCCTGTTCAGGGACCTGCTTGGAAGAATCCCATGGGATAGAATCCTAGAAGGAAGAGGGATCCAAGAGAGCTGGTTGATATTCAAGGGTCACCTCATCCAAGCTCAAGTAAGGTCTTTCCCCATGAGCAGGAAATCAAGCAAAGGTGTCAGGAAGCCTGCATGAGTGAACCAGGAGCTTCTGGTGAAACTCAAATATAAAAAGGAAGTATACAAAAGTTGGAAGCAGGGTCAGGTGACCCAGGAAGAATATAGAGAGAGTATCTGTGCATGTAAGAATGGCATCAGGAAAGGCAAAGCCCAGCTGGAGTTGAATAGTTGAATATGGTGAGGAATGTTAAGGGTAACCAGAAGGACTTCTAAAAGAACATCAGCAGCAAAGCAAAACTAGGGAAAATGTGGGTCTGCTGCTGTGGGCAGGGGACTTGGTGACAAAGGACGTAGAAAATGTCAAGGTACTCGATGCCGTCTTTGCCATGGTCCATCTCATGATACAGCTGGAATATTCAGTTATTAAATCTTAATACTGTACCATCGAAGAAAGGGCAACGAGTATCTATAAGTCTGTTTTCCTTTGTTTTTTTCAGCTTAATTGCCTGTTAAAATTAGGCTAGGTGCTTCATAGATAAAGCTTTTGAAATATTTGACCACCGTTACAAAAGTGCATTAAGTAACAGTGCTCCTTATGTAAGTACATGTGTTATGTGTTATCTATAGTCTAAGTATTCACAAAGGAAATCACTAATTATACTATTAATAGATTATTTATAAAGAATGGTATGTGCTAGTGTTTTTAAATAGAAAATGAACGTGGAGTGATTCCTCTTTTCTTTTTGTATAAAGATCCAACTTAGCTGCTTCTAGAAATCTGTTTTGTTTCAACGTTTAACTGAACCACCATGATTAGTTTCTCAACTGAGGAATCTCAAAATCCTTTTTATCATTTTTTTTTTCATGCAGTCATTCGTAGATAGGGTTAGTTGGATTTGGAAGCATCATGTTATTTGGGTGGATTTAGATTTATTTGCTGCTTACATTGTTCAGTTACCATATGTGTAGTTGGTAGAATGTTTTTGGTAAAAAGGGGATATGGAGATGTTCTAATACTTTTCTTATTTAGAATCAGAGGATTTATAGGACTGAAAAGGGCATTAGAAATCAGTTGTTAATGCTAACAGCACTGAAACAGAATAAGTACATTTATAGCATTTGTAGTAACAGCGTAGTAACACTTTCTAAAGATTTTCAGTGAAGGAAATATGTATGATCTGGCAATGAGCTGTCACTATTAATCCCTATTAGTTATTTTTGAAGATTTTTCTCACTTCAGTATCTAATCCTATCAATAGTTTTCTTCTTTACCCCATCAATGGTAGAATGGTTTTGTCTCTCATTGAAACTGTTTCCCCTGCATTTGCAAACTATTTCAGGTCTTCCTTCCATCTTCTTCTCAGACCTAGTCCTTCATTCTTTCCCTGTTTATCATGTCTTCTAGGATTGTGTAATTTTTCTGCTCTCAGATGCAGTTCCTCATTGGTCCACATGTTTCCTGATATGTGGCACTGGAAACCGTACTGTGCTCCTGTTGTTATCCGTATGGATTGAAATGGAAGGATTACTTCATTTATCTAACAGGGCTATATTCCTCCTGCTTATTGTTCCCAGTTTGCCTCTTTGGCTAGCACATGGCATCATTTACTGAAGTTTAGCTTCTAATGCCCCAGAGCCTTTTCTACAGAGCTCCTGCTTAGTCTGTTGTTTACTCTCCTGCATTTGTACAGCTGATTAATCTTTTCAGTACTTTCTTTGTTTTGTTATGTTTATCAAGATTTCTTCAATTCTTTCCCTGCCCTCCAGTGTGCTCTGTGATACCTCTCTGCATGGTGTTGTCTCTATTGTTATGTACAACATTAAGGAAAATTCTAAATAGGACATAACCCGGGACAGCTCTCTACAGAATTCCATCCATTGACAACTATTGTCTGTGACTTCTGCGAGCGTTCTACTCTTATGTTAATCAAGATTACACCTATTTTAGTTTGCTTCTGATAATTGAAGAGGAAATGTCAAAAGCCTTAATCAAACTAGATACTGTCTGTTTTTCCTCATCTAATGCCCAGTTACTCTGTTACACAAGGATATTAGATTAGTTTATTCTGACTTATTTGCAAATTCATGATTCATGTTGGTGGCTATTCATTTAGAAAAGACGTATGGTGAATATTAAAATATTTTTCCAGAAAACAGGACCACATTTTCTGGTTTGGTGTTGGTTGTATGTGGTAGATATCGCATATGTGTGTATATGGATGTGTGTATGAGTGTGTGAATGTTTGTCTTGTATAAATATAAATGTACACATATATACTTGCATATATATGTATGTGGAAATATATATCTGTAGAAAGGGTGAGTAAGAGGATGTGGGTTTAGGGTTTGTGGGTTTTTTTTTTTCCCCCTCCTAGGTTAAAAGCAGTGGCTAAAATTCTTTGGAATGTAAGAGATTTTGTTTTTCTATGTTAAAAAAAAAATTCTAGAAATAGATCAAAATCCATGGTGATCAGTTTTGTTTCCTCAGTACTGGGAATTCTAAGTTAATTTTCACTTTTTTTCCTGTAATTTACAGCTTTTGGAAATTAACTGGACTGGACTGACCAATCTTCTGGATGTTCCAGGGCTGAAGTGAGTATATATAAAAGTATTTCAATACTTCTTTTTCAAAAAATAAAAACCAGAGAATCTGAAGATCATCAGCTGTATGTATAGCTAAATACTTTTCGGTTAAATGACTTGTGGATTTTCTATCTGCCCATGTAATAGAACACTAGAAAGACAAAGAATCTTATTTTTCATGCCAGTGGCTTCACAGCATCTTCGTTTATGGCTTTGTATGCAGATAAATGTCTAGTTGCTTGTGTAAAGGTAGTAAGAAATACTTTAACATAGAATCAAGTTAAATAGACTTTCCAGACTTTTTTGAATATTTCTTTCAGAACTTTCTGTTTTTTTCTGATTATCAGATGAAGTAGCAAAAGTGTTGACTATTTATAGCTAGAAAAAATTGTTGGTCACAATTCAGAACTTTTTGAAAGGGTAAATGATTTATAAAAGTAACAAATGAAAACAAAGAAACTAGAAGGAGAAGAGAAAGCCAAGTTATTTCATGTTGTTGCAGTCCTGATGGGGTCAAAACCAGAATTTATATCCATACATTTCAAGATATAATAGTTACCCAGAGGCTTTTTAATATTAAGAAAATGGCTAACGGGCTAATAAATGGGTTTGATACACACTTGGATTTTGTGACTAGCCCTTTTGTTTGATCCAGACGCTCGAGAGTTAGCGGATTCCGGAACTGTTTTCTATCGTTTGAAAGCAAGAGTTTGAATTTAGGAATTAAGAATCCTTTAGTGCTCAATGGTAGGACTAAAACAATTTTTACTTTACTCAGACATTTGAAGCCATTCTGTGAACTCCCAGCTGAACAAGTTGAAATTAGAACTTGTGTTAAGTAGGTCAGTGGCTGCCAAAATTGCTTGTGTTTCAAGCCTGGTTAAGACTGCCTCTGAGGAAAGAGGTTTTCTTCATGAGTGAGAAAATGGTTTTGAAAGTACAGCTCATGAGTAATAATTGGCTATTTTGAGGTAACACTAATAAAGTTCCATTCAGTACTTAAGTTTACTAGTCTTCTGAGATTCCTATCTTTCTACATATTCACTCTACTGGAAAAACAAAACCTCAAATGTAAACAAAGGCTTGTAAATACCCCAAGTTTATGGTTTCCAGAGCAACCAGGCTTGGTCACATATGCATATAATAGCTGCAGTCTAGATGTGGTATAGTTTCTATGGTAACTGTAACTGAGGTGACTCATGTTCTGCCTTGCCAGTAAATTTCTTCAGTGCTGTATTTTTCTTGACTTTAAAGATAGGTTATATCTTTTCAAACAACAATTTGACAAAACGCGGTTGTTAAAAGCCATGATGAGCACAAGAGTGCTTGGGCGCAGGTACCTCTGTAGTCCTTCAGCTGTTGGCTACGTGCTGAACTGCTTGTTTGTACTCTCTTTGCAAATGGCTTCTGCTAAATGAATTTCTTAATTTGCTGCTGGAAGTTTCCCTGTCAGCTGTTCAAAGCTTCCATTGCTCGCTCTTAATGACCCCACTAGGGAAAGGACACAAAAGCAATTTACAGGAGGAGTGGAATTGAAATCCCTATGTGAAAGGAGGCAGGCAGCGAGAAGCCTCATGTGCTGTCAGGAGGGGTTTTGGATGACTGGAAGATGAATTCAGTTATGGTTAGTTGAGATGTAGTGAAACTACTCTCTGCAGTCCAAGATGTACTGTCTCTGCAGAATGAAGAGAAGAAAATCCAGGCAAACGTTTAGTCGCTATGCTGTCACTAAAAGTTAGTAAGTGATGCTAAATGCAAATAGAGAGCATTGCAACTGAGTAGGTAACTGCCAATTATTTTCCACAACAGAAGTGAGCTTTTAAAGTCTTTTGCTAGAATAAAGTACCTAAAGTATTTCACATTTCTCTAATACTCATGAACTGAAAAAGTAATTGTTCTATCATCATAACTACGAATCAACGATATAAGAGTTTTTAGGGTGTTAAGAAAAACAGCTGCTTATCAGTGATGCATCCAATTAAGAGTTTGAATTGATACAACTTTCTCTATTGCTTTCTCTATTCACTGGTTTCTGTCTCTTTGTATTCCATAGATTATTCTTAATTTTTTAAATAATAAAAACATTGTCATTTTGCCTTGCATTGATAAAGAATACTTGTCAACGGAGAGCATTCCAGTTGGCCAATATGTGGTAGAGGTATTAGATAAGTTTGATACAGTTTGAAAGTGTCATGTTATTTTAAAGGTCAATGAATTCATAACTTATGAACCGAAGTTTTCTTCTTCAGCTCCCCATTTTTAAAGACTGAATATCTGCTACTTTGTGTATGAGTCCAGTTTCTCTCTGGGAAATTCCATCATGCCCATTCATTCATTCAGATTCATTTCTCAGATGTTTTAAAGAAATTCAAGTCTTTCTGTTGGGATAAAATTGTGAGAGGGACCTTCTGAATTGCGGAACTGGGGTTTAGTCATGACATAGATAACTGTGAATCCTACAAATAAGTGAGCTGTGTTTGTTCTTCAGGCAGTTATTTTCTCTTATTTAAGGAGATTTCTTATAGTTTTCCATTTGAATATGAATTAATATCTCTGAACTTTTTGCCAGGTCTAGGATAGATTTATTTATGCCTACAACTTACTTCATAATACATGTGATCTTAATTAAATACAAAGGAAGGACATGATAACCTTTCCTTCAAAGTAGCTATGGCATAGTTGCCTCTCTTGCACTCCTCCTATTTGCTGTTGGCCGACCTAGGTCAGATAGTTTTAACTAGTAATCATATTTTCCTCAGGTATATGCTTTGCTGAACATAAAGACAGAGCTTTCTCTTCTTACCAGTTAGGGAAGTTAATAAAAACAGGAACAGAACAAATATATCTGATATCTAAAGACCTAACATCTGCTGGAGATGTGTCATCAGACTTGTATTTTGAAAAGCTCTTCCTGCAACACATGCTTGTTGCTCTTGTAGTTACCATCACCTCAGTTCCTTTTAACGTTAAAAGTGCTTGAGATATTTATCTTAACTTTTTATCTCAAGTTTAATAAAAAGTAGGAGCTAATTTCTTGGCCCATTTTAGACATTTTACAATTATGTAAATACATAATTGTATTTACATAATGTAAATACAATTTTACAAATGAGTAAAATTTACTCATTTTACTTGAGTGCTAAACACTCAAGTTCAGAACTTAAAGTTTAGCAAAACTGAATTGAGAAAGATTGAAAAGCGACATGTTACTATGATGACTAAAGAAAGCTATATATTTTCACAGAATATAATTACCTTGTGGTATTCAGTGCCTTAAGAATTACTGAAACTGTAAATTTGCAGGATTCAGTGCTCATTTATAATAAAAACATTTGTGACTGTAACTGGATAAACCTAGCAAAAAAGGAAGGGGAATGAACACTCCTGTTTCAGGACATGTGTCGATGAACATTCAGGATTTGAAAGGAAACATTTCCTCTGAGCAATATATTAGCATAATTGTCCACTGTAGTTTCTTTCAGAGTAAAAATAGAGGTCTGCAGAGACCTGTACATTAGTCTTCAGGCAGCCTCTGTTCTGGTGTATTGAATGCCATTAAAGAGTCGGCCGCGTTCTATCATGTAATCGTAGCTTCGCTAGGTTTACAATTGAAGTGATGAACAAAACTGATGTCACAGAGATGATAGGTGCAGCCGCCACCAGTCTATGAGTTTTCATGGCAACTGTTGCCAGAAAAAATACAGCTTTTTGTATAACCTAAAGATTTGTAAGCAAATAAATGAAGCAGCATTGTTACAGCCAAGTAATTGGATGTGGAGGGACCACCTGCTTTTCCTGGTTATAGGAATTGGCCAAATAAGATACTACTTCTTCCAGCAAACCTTGCTTTTGTTGGTTGTATCAATAGTGTTGTTTTTTTCCCAGTCAGGATTAATATTATGTTTTGAGGACAGTAGCCTGTTTTCTGATGTTCTAGTTTTACCTTTCTTTTTTTCTTGGAGTAGTAAATATTGCAAATCTAGTTTTGTTATAGTTTAGCAATGAGAAGCTCAGAAGTGTAAATATTGGAGGTTAACTTGTAATACTCAACCCATTATGGTTCAGCCTGTAATCACCGGGTTCTAGCTGTTGTCTTGCCATTAAGCGTTTATTTTGCTGTGTTTTACCTGAACTCTCAATCTTGGCTACAATTTCCTAAGAAAGTAGTTTTAGCCTTTATATGGGAATTTTACCTACTGTGTCTCAGCTCCTTTATTCAGCTGGTGACCAAGCACCCAACACAGACAGAAACTTTCTCTTAGGAGTTTAAAATGCTTCAGTGATACGCAAGTTTCAGTGAAGTATTTTAGTGAGAGAGATTTCATGCAGATGCCTCCCTTACATGTTTACTCTGATAAACTGGAGACCAGGTCTCTGGTGTAGATTCCAGATGTGGTGTATGAGGGAAAAGTGCCGCGTGACAGGGCACAATGCTTGCTCTTCCTAGCGGGTGCATTTGTGGTGAAGCAGGACAGCCCAAGGGGATATGAGCTGTACAGATTGCAGATCTCTAGCGTTAAGGATCAATGTGAGTTTGAAATGGGCCAGGTGCGTTTCATGGGTTAGTTGTTACCCATCTCTACCATACTATGTTTATTGTTTGTCAGTAAATTTTCTTTCCAGATGAAACTTAAGTATGTATTAAATTAGAGTGCCTCTGTTGTGTTCATATAAGTATGCCAGCTGCAGAATCAGAACCACTGCTAAGCGCAGATCCAATCTTCGGAAAGACTTCTCAAGGGTGATTCCACACAGTAATGTTCTCAATAATCAAACGTGTTATCTGTGTCTTAATTTCAGAAAGACTGTAGAAGGAATCTCAAAGCAAGTGTATTTACTAGGAGATATAAAATGTGTGGTTCATCCCTGGAGCTTTAGCAAGAGCACCTATGTAGTTCAGAAATACCTTAAGTATTTTTTTGGCACTGCCTTTCTGACCTTTGGCACATACCACCAAACTCTTCCTGGATGCTTGCAATGCAGGGTGAATTGCACCCCTTTGCAGTTCTGCCTTTTTGCCACTGCAGGCAACACAGCTAAACAGTGGTGTTTGTCTGACAATATACTAATGTGTTGTCGGTTCAGACCCAACTGGGTGAACTCTGAGTTTAGGAGATGTGTTCGTGTGTGTGTGACAAGGGGTTGGGAGTCCGGGTTGGGTTTTTAACGATTCCTTGCCAGTGCGATTGTATTGCCGCTCCCTTTTCGCCAGCATAAAACCTGTTTGGCCTGCCTTAGGCTGTATTTTACCTGAACACAGAGCATGTTTTCTTTGTGTTTCTGTTTTAAGTGACAGTCCTCCTGGCTCAAGAGGACACCTTGTTTCCTAACAATATAGCAGTGCCTAACTTTCAGGGCAGTTAAATCGTTACTGAAATACAAAACTAGATACCAGTGAACATCCATTTCATTAATATGTAACGGAGGCAAGCAGCCTTACGCAATAGCCTTTCAATCGGGGTAATTTTGAAGGAGGGAGGGGAATTAATTACAGTGGCAGAAAAATGAGAACTTTATATGGGTGTCTTCTCTTTCTGCTATTTTATATCAGCTGCTTCCACCTGGTGGCCCTTTTGGCAAGAATCCTTTCTCCAAAAAAAAAAAAGGAAAAAAGAAAAAAAGAAAGTTGTTTACAGGACAGATGAACAGTTCCTAATTGAAAACAAGGTTAGGCTGTTGAGTGGCAAAAGGATAAAGGATCGGGAGGGGTTTCTGTAAAGTTTAATGCTCAAGCAGCCTAAACATACTAGTGTGACATAAAACATGTTCAAAATGAATTCTCATGAAGTAACTGGTGATTTATTTTCTCTAACAGTGGCTTATCGGACACAATAATATTGGATATAATTTCCAACTACCTGGTTCTTCCAAATAGAATTACAGTCCCCCTTGTCAGTGAAGTGCAGCTTGCGCAGTTGCGGTTTCCTGTACCAAAGGTAAGGATGTTTCTGTTTGAAAAAATAATAATAATCTGGCATTTAGGTTTTTGTGTAGTATTGATTTTTTTAAAGATAGGGACATGTGTAAATTTGTAAATATAGATACTGCAATAGTACACAATATCATGAATCCAGTCACTTAAAAATAAACAACTCTGCTTATAAATGTTTTCTATGATGTTAATGTTTGATAATAGCAACAAAAATAAGGGAGAGTTATTTTTCTGTCTTGCTAGAATCTTTCATATGTTACCCACGAAGTATAGTTCAATTGTATAGACTAAAAATTAAGTAGCATATGTTTTATATTATCATCTCAAATTATTGTTAGTGCTCTTCACTGGAAAATTTTTATTACTTATTACTGTTCGTGTCTGGTAACATGGAGTTTCTTGATATAACTGGCGTGTTTCTGACCGATGACAGTTTTTATTTTCAGGAATCTCTGAGTACCAAGTCTGCTGTGTATGTGGATTGTCACTGATATCCTTCCATTTACCATGTCCAGTTTTGCTTTCTGCAAGTTGTAGGAATCCAAAATAGAATGATTCTTGTTACAAAATATTTGGAATACAGAACAGTATCCAAATTAGGAGATAAGTTTCACGTTAAGGAAAGAGCGATTGAAATGTTTAAAGGTATATTGCATAAGTTGTGGTGATAGAAAGTTTTACTCCTCAAGTTACTAGATAAATTGATTTTTTTTTCCTTGTTCAGGGTGTTCTAAGGATACACTTCATTGAAGCTCAGGATCTGGAGGGGAAAGATACTTACTTAAAAGGGATTGTCAAAGGAAAGTCGGATCCTTATGGAATCATCCGTGTGGGCAACCAGATTTTCCAAAGCAAGGTCATCAAAGAAAATCTCAATCCAAAGTGGAATGAAGTTTATGAGGTATAATCAGTTAAAAAGCCATATTGTGTGTCCTGTAAAGTTATCTTCTGTAAACTGTTTTACTAGAGGAAATACTGTAGGAGTTTCCTTGAGAAACTTCTTGACGTTTCCCTCTAAAACCCCGAAGTTCTGTAACAAAACAGAAACTCCCTATTGATTTGTACATTTCTTTTTTTCCTAGACTGAGCCTCAGTAAGTCTAAAAACCAGTCTAGTCCCTTAATATAAACAAATCACATTTCAAAAGCTCTTAACTTGCCCTGATCGTAATAAATTACATATTTTTAAAGCCTTTGCTTATTTGCATGTGTTAACAAATTCACAGAAGCACTGCAATTCAGTGTTTCATTGTTACTTTGACATTTGACAAAGTTGATTTGTTTTGCTATTGATTATGCCATCTATGTAACTGTACTCCTAGGCTTTAGTATATGAACATCCAGGACAAGAGCTAGAGATTGAGCTTTTTGATGAAGATCCAGACAAAGATGACTTCCTGGGAAGGTAAACGTTATGGAGAATATGTTTTTAGGTATTGACAAAGAGATTAAGAATTTTGTTGTAATCTTTTTAGTTTTTATTGCATCTTTATTTCTGCTATATTACTCAATTTATAAATTACACATCTTTTCAAAATTCTGATAGTAAGTCGCTTCCTAATTCTTTGGACTCCCCATGTATATAAATAAATATATTAAAAATATGTATGGGGTATATGTGTGTATGTACATATACGTATTTATACACAAAAATAAGGTAAGTGTTGTGTATACTCAGAAAGAAAAGAGTTTTTCAGAAATTGAACCCGACTTGCTTTAATGTTCTTAACCTAGCATGAAGTCTTGATTATTAGTTCAGGCAAAATTGATAATTTTCTAACTGCATATCTTCATCTGCATAGTTTTAAAATGACTAGCTCAGAGCTTATTCTTCTCTAAAAGCTGATCTTAGCAATTTGATTTAAAAAATAATTTTGCTATAGTGCTTTCACAAACCTTGCTCACTATCAGCTTCCATAGGCCTACCTCTAGTGTTTACCCATAAGCATATCTGGGTTTTAGTCAGCTTCTTTCTCCAGTAATTTGTCACCTTTATTTCTTGCAGAGTTTTGGAGCTTCCCATTGTTGCTTTCCATACAGAGTAGAACTCCCTTATCTTTCCAGCTCCTTCTCTCTTAACAGGAGCAACAGTACCTACTTCTCCTCTCATTTATTTAAAGAAGTAGGTAGTACCAAGGCTTCTTTTCTTTGCACTTCCCTAATCTTACACTGAAGCGGGGGGGAAAAGCAGCAGCTTGATCATAATGGGTACATCAGTACTAGTGAAATAAAAGGCCAAGGCAAATGTTCATGCACTGGCATCCAGTTGTCTGTACTGCTTAATTTTTAGCACATTCCCTGGTTTAGCTTGTGCGGCTAGCCCTCTCCCAGGCAATGCCAAAGCATGAAATGGGTCATAGCATATCTCCAGGGGCTATTTCCAAAGGGTAGTTTGGATGTGGTCACTATTTTGAGAATTTAGTCATATCTATGTGAGCCATAATGTGCCAGTTGTCCTTTGAGCTACAAAACGGGCTCTAGTGTAGGCATATTTTATATTATTCCGTATCCCTCCTGTTTCAGCCATTTCGTTCCCTACTTCTTCCTCTATTGCTGGCTAAAAGAATAGCATTGCTCTGTTCTTTTGCTCTCAGTAGAAGCCTCGATACTCAGCAGGCATGGGAGGGTGGGGTGAGTTCTGTATAACATGTTTTGCTTCTCCCCTAAACTACCTTTTTTTTCCTTTTCTTCTAGTCTGATGATAGATTTAATTGAAGTTGAGAAGGAGCGTCTTTTGGATGAGGTAAGTATTTGGTAAGTTTTGATAAGAAACATATGCTGCAATATTTAATTGTTCATCTTGTTTTTTTTGTTTTTTCTGGAGATAGTTCCTGTATCCTGTGTGTCCATGAACAGCCTTAATGCTAGAAAAATAGACTCCCTGATTATCAGTGAAGTGGCTTAGGTGATATCTGAACTGGTGACATCCACAGAACAATGCCATTCTTCTGTTCTGGGGTTAAATATCGCTACTATTAAATGTGTTTTCTAAAAAAAAAAAAAAAAAAAGTGACTGTTTTTGGAAAGGATTTTTTTCTTTTAGGAGAACAGCTGTTTGCCTGAATTAAATACTGTTAGACTCAGCAGACTAATTAAACTAACTTACTGGAAAATTGAAGTTTTATCCTATATGTGAGATTTTATAGTAATGTTATATGGGGCTTGTATTTTGAGAACAGTCTTACAGAAGTTAAGGAACTGATATCTTAGAATGCTTTTATTCTATAGCATGAAGACCTGCCTGACCGTTTTTGTATTATGCAGCTGAATAGCTATTGTTTGTCTTAATACTTAGTGTGACTTTTAAGCGTTTTTAAATAATGAATCAGATTACACAGATTTCAGCTGTACTGGATTTCTACTGTTGCTTAATATTTCTTAAATGTCCTGAAGAACCAATTGTAGTCATATATTTGTTTGGTGACAGGTTGTTTCACATTACTTTGCTTGACTTTTAGTGGTTTACTTTGGATGAAGTGTCCAAAGGAAAATTGCATTTAAAACTGGAATGGCTCACATTGATGCCAACTGCTGAAAATCTAGACAAGGTATTAAAGGAACACGTTATATTTTATCCTAATCTTAACTTCTTTCTTTTTTGTTAAAAATATAAGTAATTTAATTCTCTAGCTGTGGTAAATTTGAATAAACCTATAATTTTACTGTAGTGTAATTTTTCTTTACAACACATCGGGTCAATCATTCTTGACAGTGCACTTTTGTGGCATGGGATTTTAAAAGGCTTCTTTCTTCTTTTCTCTTAACGTTATAGTTGGAGAGCATCCACTGACATTTCATTAGATTGAGAGATAAAAACAGCCATGATATGTAATCTGTCCACCTTCTTTAAAAAAAAAAAAAAAAACACCCTGAAGGATTGAGATGGAGTTTGTTGAAATATGTATATCTGGTTTTATATGAAGTCTTAAAAAGCTAGTGTTTTTTTTTTTTATGTGCATTTATGAATGTTTGGGTTTGGAGAGAGATTCTTAAAGGTATTGTTCAGGAATAGGGCAGAATTAATACCATGATATTGTTTTATTTGCAGAAGAAGGCTCACAGTATGTTTTTTGGTTTAGGTTTTAACAAGCATTAGAGCTGATAAAGACCAAGCCAATGATGGGCTTTCTTCTGCATTGCTTATTCTGTATTTGGACTCGGCAAGAAACCTGCCCGTAAGTAATATTCTGATAGATGCCCATTGTCATGGGCATCTCTTGCTTCCTTCCAGCACGTCTTGCTTGCTGTGCTACACTGCTTCACTAACACACATTATGCCACGTTTTCTGTAACTGTTCTCGTTTCAAAAAGTGTAATGTAAGGTCCACGTTTCTAAGTAGTATGGTATTACAGATATATATCTAATAAACTGTTACTCTTTAATCAGTGTGAATTTTCTTTAAAGAATGCTCCTTTCCTGGACTTGAAAGGCTGCATGTTTTTATTATTCAGTGTTTCCCATAAATTGTATGGGATCAGCATGGGGAATTAAAAGGAACTAACTGGGAAAAAGGAAGGCTACTTCCATGAACTCAGGAAAATTGGCTTGCTTTGGTTTAGGGTATCTGTGGTAGATTTCAAAGTGCTGAAGTCCTCATCATGAAATTAATACTGTCCAGTTGATGTTAGAGTGGCAGAATACTGTATGTGATTTTTGTCAGGTTGTCATTTGAAGTATCGTTTATTTGCATGTGCAAAACATACACACAAATAAAACATCCTGTTTCTGTCATTCTATGGATTACACTATTAGAGTCTGAAATAGCTTGTTTATGACAAGCAGAGATTATTTGTAGTTTATTTCAGGTTAGTAAGTTGCTGTTCATGGTTGCAAATAATAGCAATAGAAAGTAAGCCATACCACAAAAAGAGATGTGAAGCATAACACTGAGTTTTACTGTTTGCTATTTGATGAGAAATTCCGGAAGTGTTTACTGAAGGGTTTTTTTTTTTTTTGTACATTTTGCAAATTTCTCCACTTATCTTATCTTCCAATTAAAATGCAGCATCAGAGAGGTAACAAAGCCATAGCAGCCTAAGCAGTTTCCATCAGTGACTGGTGATTTCATATAGTAAGTGTTTGGGGCTGTGTAGAGCAGTGTTTGGAAATGGTAGCAATAGATTGATTTAGAAGCTAATGAGATGTAGATCACCTGGATTCAAATCCTGCATTACCTTTTTAACCTCACTATATTGGATTGTGAGGGAACCCTGTAACCTAGCAGAATTCAAAGATGATGCAATTCAGTTAACTGGTGTGCTTAATGTTAAGTTCAGAATATTGCAACACAGAAAAATGTCTGTCTACCATCTCTTTTGTGCTGAATTAAATTGGACCCACTTTTGTATTTTTTTTCAGCTACTGGATTTTACTCGAACTGTTTTGAGTTTAATATTTTTGTTAAAATATAGTAAATTCTGTTACTTAAAATGAGTAGTTCTCTCATCCACAGTTATTCGATATTTTCTGACAACCCTGTTTTTCTGTATTAGGCTAGCTTCCCCAGCAAATAGTCAGAGGCTTTGTCTTAAATTTTTTTTTTTCTCTTCCTTTTAAGCAAATATTCAGTAACATTGTCTACTTCCCTTAGAAAGGTTAGATTATAAGTCTTGAGTTCTACCTACTTTTTGGGACAGTATTTTCATTTCTATGTCTTACAGTATCTAAATAATTATTACTTTTAATTGGTAGACCTCTTAAACTCTAGGGCAACTGAGGCACAGAAACAGGAAGTTCCTTTCACAAAGCTGCCTAGCTAGCAAACCTGGGAAGAGGTTTCCAAATTTGATTGCTCTGTCTGGTATTCTGTCTACAGTGCAAGATTGCCTGGGTGGTGTTGCGAGTAAGGGTGGTGGTAGCCAGGCACCTCTGCCCCCCTTTCTCTTTCTTTCTCTACCACCTCAGAAATTTACTACAAATAACTTGGTATTTAAGTTCAAGTCATTTTCTATCCAGAAATGTGTTTTAAGGACTATGAAAAGCAGCACTGAACACTTCAAAATTTATTTTTACATGTTTACAATGATAATATACAATACTATGTTAAATCCAAATCATCTGAAAATAGATCTGGAAAGGCTTCAGAGCTAGACAGAGGGGAAATATTATGGGAGGACTTCTCTTCAGTTCTCCCACATGAAGATTTCTGTGGATTCTGTAAAGGTACTGTCATAGAGCTGCTGGACAAGCTGCAGCAAATCATAGTGAATACAGCTTTTGTATGTCCTTTTTTCTGATATGGAAAAACATTTACAAGATAAAACATGAAAGTGCAGTGGCTCATGTGCTCATATTCATTGATGAGGGTCATGCAGTTAAATAGTAAAATTAATTGGTGTCATTGCTTGTATTTGTGGGGAACAAAAAGATAAGAGAATGAAGTCGTACTGTTACAGTTATTACTATAACAGTCAGTGTAATTTTAAAGCCATTTGTCCGCAGCTTTAATGTTATAACTGTAGTATTTTTTTAGATGAGTAACTATTTTTTTTTTTTTACTACCTTCAAAATTAATTTTTTAAGTTATTGTTGATCACTGGTACATCTTGGAGTCAGTCATATTTTTATTTGGTTATAATGGGTAATCCCCATCACAGGCCCTTTTTTTACATAGATGCACCATGGTGGTTGCTGAAACAATTGAGATGACTTATTTGAAATGTGTTTCAAGTACATATAAATGATATCAGGGAAGGCTTGCCCCTCTAAATTTACTTAGTTGGACCTGCCATATAAATACGGACTACCAAGGGTAAACCAGGAAAATGTTTCTGTTTACTGAGAGGTGCTACATGCCTACAAGGCTCCTAACATATTTGAATAATTACTAAAAAATGTAAAACAAAAAATTTCTACCTTGCTGTGCTGTAGAAAGCCTTTTAATAGATGAAACTATTTATAATGACGAATATTTACTTACTTTTGTTATCTACTGTTTTCTCTGGAATCCTTTGACTGTTTTCCTTAATTTTCCTGTGTAGTAAAGCTGCTTATGCATTCATTCTGCCACAATCCCATCACTCTGCTTTCTCCTTCCATTTCCATCTTCCTAAGAGTATCTACGAGGGAAACTTTGGGTGTGGATACTTAAAAGAGAGGAGAGCATCGGGACTAGTCTTTTGTGAAAACACTACCTCACTGTATAGAGCACTATTTGTGAGTTCTCTGGTATTATTTGTATTGTATCTTTTATCTGCCAGAGTGTGAATTAGTGCTACTAAAGCCACTCACTCTAGTGGAATGAGAGCATGCAATTTGTTTTCCTGCATGGTTTCAACAAGTGTGCATTGTTTTTTGTGCTATTTTTATTGCATTTTGAAGGCTGTTTAAATATCATTGATCAGCATATCATTGGGTAAGTAATTAATTTTTTGTGATTAAAATCCCAAGATACGTTTTTTTGTAAAAGTTCTTACATTTAACTTCAATTGCTGATTCACAGAGAAATAAAATACATACTGTACCAGCATACTGTGTGCTGCTGAATTGATGCCTTTATTGCAAAAAAATGAAACTGTAATAAATATTACAACTGGCACCCCTGCAGTATTTTTTAAAGGAGAGCGTTTGTAAGAACTTACATCCTCTCCACAGTGGTTCAAGTATTGCTTAAAAAATGTGTGTGGTTCTTTGCGCTCCCCAGACTATAAATTCCCTTGTAAATTCTATTTCACTCCATTTTATTCCTTTTATTGCAACTTCCCAAATGCCTTTTTCTTTTTTAGAAATTAGTGTGTAGTCAGGGAATTCCCAGTTTAAGGGGAACAGTTAATACTTTGTGCTTTAATTTAACATTACAGGAAGCTAATGCGTCTCTAAACAGCTTGCACTTAAATCTTTAAACGCGTCCCTTTGTGTCCTCAAAAAGAGTGGGAGTCCGTTCCGAATCAGAACTCTTCTGCCAGAGCGAGCTGGGGATGCCCTTACAGCTTGTGCAGAATAATTGGTTGCTGGCTGGCTGATTTTGGTTCATACCATACTCTTTAATTTAAAAAAACAAAACAAAAAAACACCCCTTTTCCGCATGGTCCTTTCGGTTAGTTTTTGTGTGGAAGCTCATTTTGAGGTATCAAACAACTTATATCCAATATCAAATCTTGTTTAAATTTAATGAGCACATATGCACTCCATAAGCATAGTGATCTAAAGTGTAAGAGAAAAACATGTAGTTTGTGGATGTCCTAAGGATTCAAACTATGGATTGTATGACTCTGTTATTTTTGTGGTATTAAAACTGGTAGGCAATTGCTGTTCCCTTTAATTATTACTAAAACAAAACAAAACAAAACTCTAGGTATATCTTAATATTTAAAATGTTTGATAAAACTATGCTACTGAAGTTGTTATCTTAGGATCATTGTGTTAGGATATCCTGTCTCTATATAACAGCATCCATTTAGATGCTGGGCAAAAGTTTCCAAATCCTCAAAGCATGAGCCAGAGTGGAAGAGCAACAGTTTAAGACGACTGTGCCTGGATTTCCTTCAGCAGTACTGTTAACGGGTGTGGTGTTGCGTGAGTGCTAGTCTTGGGGCAAGCCAAGAGGCACAAGTGGACTGTAGTAGCCCAGACTGAATAACAGCTTCAGCAATTGTAGAGCTTCACTTTGTTCTCAGGGCATCTGTAAAAGTTTGGCAAAAATTCACTTCCCTTAACTTCAGATGCCTAAGTGACATGTAGGTTTGGGGCGGGGGGTGGGGGTGTAAAGGAAGAAGGGGAGGGCTCACAAAGGTGACCCCCTTTATATCTAATGGAAGAGGAAAAACTAGTGTCTTGAGTGCTCTGAGTTGCTTTCCAGATACTTTTACTGACTCCTTGGAAAATAGATTTGTGACACTTAATTACTTTAAACTACAAATAAGGCAGATTTAATATCAGTGTGTGAATAGTGCTCTTAGTAAATATAACTTCCAAAAGCGCATACCACTAGTTTTACAGTACATTATCGCCAGCTCATAATGATTTTCTTTTGATTTGGAGTGTATGTAATACATAAATTATAAATATTTTAAATCAGCTCTATCAGATCACTTTCTGTCTTTGGGTTGTCAAGTAAAGATGCACTCAAAGATTTAGAAACTTTTAAAACAGCATTTGTTACCACAAGCTCGAGTTAATGAGTCAAGATAAATAGTCGTATTTCAAATCGTATCAAATCAGCACCTAACTTAAGATCAAAACAGCTTTTCAGTTGTCATATAATTTATGGGTTTGTTATCAGGATTTGCTGCAAATTGCGTTGGCTACTGGAGAACACTAACCTGAAGTTTGATTTGTTGTACTGTGTCAGTTACCAACATAGTCCATGGATATCTATCTCCTTTTTCTATGACCGCGGAGAAGCTCTTAACTGTAGCGAGACAATTTTGTCACCCAAGGCAAACCTCTTCCCTGGCTTTTTATATTGAATACTCCCTTTTCTCCTAATGTCCTCCTGCCCAACCTTTCAACCTTCATCCTCATGGACCTGCAGCTCCTTTCCTTCAATCCTGAAGCCTGGCAGGGCTGAAACATATTTGCCCCAGTTGATGTCCCTCCTGGCCTATCCTTGCTATGATTCCGGAGGAATTGACACATTTTCAATAGCCAAGAATCATTGCGTGGCTGCCTTTAGAGTTTATCGAATAGAATTGTTCTTGACATCTAAAATACTTTGATGCAATGAATAATTTAGGAAAGTGTTGAATCACAGAATCGTTTAGGTTGGAAGGGACCTCTGGAGATCATCTAGTCCAACCTCCCTGCTCAAGCAGGGTCACCTAGAGCATATTGCCCAGGATCGCATCCAGGTGGGGAATGTGCAAGTGAAAACATGACGGATGGCTGGTTAGTTGAGGGGAGGTTTAGAATTCTAAATGATCTTAATAAATTTGAAATACAATCTGAAAAAAATAGGATATTTTCCAATGGAGGAGAGTTTCTGCACCTACACAGGAATAACCACTCCCATAAATATGGGATGGTAATAGTTGTCTGATAGATAGCCTTACAGAAATAGATCTGCAATTGTGCTGCGTCATGCTGCTGCAAAATGGCAAAAAAACATTGAATATTGAAAGAGGAATATAGGCTGTAAGATGCATGGACTAATTCTTCTGTTCTACTTGGCCATTAGTGAGACCCTGATTTTGGCCACTGCGATTTAGGAATGATGGGGACCAGTTGAAATAAATCTGGAGGAGAGCAGTGATTAATTGGACAGCTAGAAGACATGGCTAATAGGGAAAGGACTTTTTTCCTAAGGAAGTAAAGATGGGGATGGAAATGATGCAAGGCTGCTGCAAACAGAAGGTGCATTTTCATCTTTTTCGGAGAAAAAGAAACAGTGCTTAAATTCCAGCAAGGAATAGATTGACTGGACATTAAAAAACTTCCTAAATGTAAGGAGTGTTAAACATTAGGGTTACTATGTCCAGTGATATTGTGCAGCCTCCATCCTGAAGGTCTCTTAAGTACAGTGTCTTTCAAGGAGGATTTAGATGATACTGCCCTCAAGCAGGGAAAGATATGCTGGTAGTTTCTTGAGATACTTAACAACCTGATGAATTTTATGAATATCTTTGCACATTATAGTGAGGTATTTCTGCATGGTAACACTATATTACGTTTTCTTTGGTTACAAGAAAAATACCATCAGAGTAGAATTCTTCAAAGATCTCTGAGAAAAGGTATTGTAAATAAGTTGCAAAAAACTGTAGATCTCAATGTGATACTCTGTTTAACAGACTGTCATGAGTACATACTCATATGAGTGAAGCTGAATTATGTTAACTGATAGCAACTGAAAATAGATTTTAAAACTTACTATATTGCAAGATTTCTGTAGCTTCTGATTTTGTTTTCCTTTTCTTTCCAAGATTCACAGGCCATACAGAGTTATTTTGAATGATAAAGGCTCCGTTAGAAACTTCTGCATTTTAAATTAAATGCGGTGAATTCCACTTGACCTGAAAAAGCTGCAGTGGGGAAGACAAACTGTGTCAGCTTGTTTTGAGTGAATCCTGTCATACTTTAACTAAGGGATATTGACACTGAGTCAATTATGCCAGCTGATAGACTTAGCAATATTCTCCCCTTCTGTTACATTTTGTACTCTATTGCATATTCATTTAAGTAGATAGACTTGATCTTAAAACAGAATGCTAAAGTAAAAGAAGCTTAAATATCATGGGTTACAGCTGCAAGATAAGTAACATTGTGTTGTTCCCATTTCACAGGCAGAAGAGTTGCATCAGATGTTGACAGTAATGAGAGGTGTACCAACAGGGAGCTTAAAAATAGCAAAAAGATGGTGGAAAATGTTTCATTTTTAGGAAGAACTGGGAGCATACATGCTTTCTTACAAGGACTATTTTGAATGCAAAAACACTCTGGAGAACACCTTTACATTAAACAAATTCCTCCATTATACTTTTATAGCCGTAGTTTATGTCAGACATAGTTTATGCCTGACAACTTGTATCTTAGCTGGGGATTAAAGAAATTTCTTTAAACAGAGAGCAATTCCTGAGGCTGCCCATGTTTGCAGTACAATAATCTTAGCCCCTAGCACTTCTAGGTAAGTAGCTGTGGAAGACTTCTTAATACTAATTTAAGCAAAGTCACAACTTAAAAAAAACAAAACTAAACTGTAATCCCCTCATTTTCTTTCTATTTTTCTCCAATCCATCATATTGTCTAATCCTTGTGAAACAGAAGTTTCAAAGCCGAATATCAGGAATTTTGCAGTACAGTAGATATTGGCCAACATTGGGATGTGACATCTCAAAAGAAAATGTAAAAAAGTATTTCTGTAGAAAGAATAAATCTCTCTATAAATTTTAGTAACTTGTGCATTTGAATTTCAAAAAGGCATTTCTTCTGATGTAGCATTAGTAATATTGTTTTCTATTCATAATCCAGGTCATTATGCAATTTTTTGTGTCCCCACATAGCACAGCTTTCAAAGCAGAATTCTCCCTTGAAACAGAAAGATGTGCTAAGGAAAAAAAAAAAAAAAAAGCAAACTACTACCTTGAAGTCAGTTTCTTTTATTTAAAAAACATATTTCCTGAAATTTCTGCCTTACGAGTTAAATACTATCACAAACTTTCTGTAACATTTTTATAGTTCACATGTATCACTTCACTATATTATTATTAAAGTAAAGTTGAAAACTTTGCTTAGTTAATGCAAAAAAGTCAGAGATTTTATACTATTAAATCAATTCAAATTCCTATTGCTAGGATAGTTGCACATCTTTAATTCGAATGAATAAAGTGTATTTCATTCTAGTTTGCATGCGAAGTATAATGATCTAAGGCTTATTGATACTTCCAGAAAAGTGACTTCCCCCATGAGAGAACTCACTCCCAAGCTTACTTGGCTTATCAGGGAATCTTCTATGTTGGGAAAATATACTTTATTGAAAAAGATTCGTTTGAAAGGTGCTCTTTAGGGCAGGTGGCACTCAGTAAGTCCCATCTCATAAAGTTCTATGATGCCTTTTTCTTTATCATTGTAAACAGATCTGATAAGGAAAATACAGATATATTGAAAGTGAGTATTTTAATTTTAAAGCAAAATACACATATTCAGAGGACAGGAAAAAAAGCTTTGTCAGATTTTGGTTTTTTTGGTGATTTCTTCATTGTTTTGTTTGAAAGTTCTGTCTTTTTTATGTTAGTGGATTTTTCTCTTTTTTTTTTCTTGTTCTATGTTGTCATGTCATAATTAATTAACCTAGTGAAATTGCTTCATTGCATGACTTATTAACCCTTTGTATGTTCATTCTCTCCTGACTTAAAAGCATAATCCATTAGAATTTAACCCTGATGGCTTGAAGAAGGCTGCTGTTCAGAAAGCCCTAAAGGTAAAACTAATATAGTTGTCCGTTTAAGGTCACAAACGTAATTGGAAATGCACACCTGCCTGCAACACTTCTCTTGCAACGGCAGATGGAATTTATGTTACCAGATGTGTATTTAGTGCAATTTAGTTTTTATTTAACTTTTAGTATGAAGAAGTGGTCAAGACATCGGTAAAATTATTTTGGTCTGTGCTAATTTGAATTTTAAATCAGTTGAGTAGGGTACAAGCTGCTTTAGAAGATCAAAAAAAAAAAAGAAAAGTCCTTAGAACCAGTTTGAAGTAGTTAGAGAGCAAAGCTGACATGAAAGCTAAGACATCTTTTACCGATATCTTTTACATACTGGATGATACTTTACAGCCTAGCTCTGAATGACCAACTGCTAAAGTAATTTAGTCTCATGTGTTTTGAAATAATCATTTTTTCAGTTATATATTTTAGGTTTTACGTTGTTTATTTGAACACTGGGTAAATTCAGCCCATCGTTCTGGTATGAAAGAGATCTAGCTGAGAGACAAGCTTCTCAGCCGAAGGAATTTGGACAATAGACAAGCTCTAGTAGGCTGAAATATCCTGTCAACAGAAAATTTGTCAGTGGCAGGTGTTAGAGGTGCATTGTGTTTGTACATATTGTCACTTTTGTAGTGTGAATTTAAATGATTTATATTTACATACCGTCAATATAAGCAAAAGGGTCTTTTGTAGACATCCTCACTTTACATCCTTTTATGAAGAAAAGGAAGCTTCAGGGACATTTATGGAGGAATAAAAGGAAAATAAAATTCACTTACCTTTTTTGACACCGTCAGGTGGAGTGTAATCTTTCTGTGTTCCTTAAACATTTGTATTCCAGTGTCTTTGGTTAGAGCTAAATATTTTTGAATAGAAATCATGAAAGAAAGAAATGCAGCATTCATCCAAGAAAGGAGTGCTTCCTTACCAGTTTTTTCTAAAGGGAAGTATGGTTATAAACATGGAGTGTCACATAAAAATCAAATAATATTAGTGGAAGTGTAATGTCCAGAACATTAGTTCAGATCCAAAAATATCTAAAATAAGCTCATTCTTAATTAAAAAAATTAAAATTGTTTGAATCACTTGGTTGTAATTGTGACCTTACATGCATTGAGCAGATTTCAACTAACTTTGTTTACAATGTCTGATCTTTATGGTTTCCTGCAGGGTAGAATTCAAAGTAAATTATTAACCATGTATACTGCATTTTCTAGGCCTTTTCAGTTGCATTAACATCTGCTTCAGATGATTAACTTTCATGTCTAACTTTTCTTTCTTAAATTTGTGTTAGGTTAATTTAAAACGTGTGAAAGAAATATGTAGTTGGGAATGTTCCTTTGTGTTTGTAATTTGATTCTGAACTGATGTTTATTTTCACAGTTTGATGTAATGCTATACAGCTGGTAAGCAAGGCTCAGCTATGGCAGATGGTTGATTCTCTAATAAAGAGTATTTGGTAAACTCTAGAAATATGCATCCGGGTACATTATAGTGAATCTTCTTCCCCCCCAAGCTGAAAAGGGGGGGGAATGTCAATGTTCTGATATTATACCCAGTTTAATAGTATTACTGCTTTGTAAATAAAGTGAGCTTCCTGAGTTTGTGCTTTCTCCATATCTCCCATCTGCATGCAATATTCATTTTGCAGTTTTAATTATGTTCCATTGGCTTTGGGGATTGTAATGCTTATTTAAAGGATGAGAAAGTGCACCTTATGAGTTTCATTTAAAGAAAAGAGAAAGGAGTCTAAAACTCCTGCTTATTTGTAGCGTTTTGCTTTAACTAACTTAAGGTGGTTGGATGCATTCATGGTAGTGTATTAACCAGCAGAGAAGTTTTTAGCCATATAAATGTCTGCCATTGAAGCTGTTGAGTGAAATACTAAGAATAATAAATATGCATAGAGTAGAATGCATATGATTTTTATTATTAGGATGGAAGCGTTTAAGTTTCAGGGGAAAGGTCACGTTTTATATTGAGTTGAATTTAACGGGAGGCAAATGCGACAGTATTCTGAAGACAAAGTTTTTACTTTTTCTTTATCAGTCAGGAAAGAAAATAAACAGCAATCCCAACCCTCTTGTTTTGCTGTCAGTTGGACACAAGGCACAGGAAAGTAAGGTAAGCACTTGCTCCCAATACTTTTCTCTGTCTACAGACATTTGGTGGTTCTGTGTGCTTAGCACTGACTATCAAGCAATTGAGTGTGTCCACTGCACTAAAAGTTATAGCTGTAACAGAAATTGCCACCAGGCAGCCAAGGACTTTGAATGGGCACTTACTCAATTTAAGTTCCTGAGAGTCTCGATTTTGACTGGTTGAACTAAATCAATTCCTAGAGACTAGATTTTTAATGATTTGTACGTGTCCTAGCACAGTAGGTTCATGATCTGCGATTGGGATTCCTACAGCAGTGGTCATATAAATAGTGTGGGCAAACGACAGGCTTTGAAATACTAATCCATGATTCTATACATTTTCAAATCTCAATTTACAGAAATGTCTAGTTTGGGAGGGACCTCTGAACATCACCTGGTTCAACTTTCAGTTTAAGGTAGAGCCTTAGATTAGCTAGAATGTTATGTAATCAAGTCTTGAGTATTTCCAGCGAAGGAGGTTTCACCACTTCTGCAGGAAACCTATTCCACTGTCTAGTTGTTCTAATGGTGCAGAACTTTTTTCTTAGAACCATACAGAACTACCCCTCAAGCCAACTGATGCTTATTGTTTCTTGTCCTGTCACTGTGTAGTTGTAAACAGAGTACCTCCAGCTTCACTATAACTACCTTTTAGGTATTGGAAGACTGCGATTAGATACCCCCTGAATCTTTTGTTTCTCTAGGTTGTATAAACCCAAATCCTTCATCTTTTTTCATATATAACATTCTCCAATTCTCTAAACATCTTGGTGGTCTTCCAGTGGACCCCATCCAGTGTTTTAATGCCTCTTAAATGGGGGAGGGGGAGAACCAAAAGTGGACACAGTATTCCAGGTGTGGCCTAACAAGTGCTGAGCAGAGAAATCGCATGCTTTATCTGTTGATTATGCTCTTGCTGATGCAGCCCAGGACACAGCTTGCCTTCATTGCTGCAAGGGTGCACTGCTGACTTATGTTCTCTCCACTAGAACTCTTGTTGACCCAATCTTCTAGCTTTTTAAGGTCTCACTGTATGGTGACTCTTCCTTCTGAGGTGTCTATCTCTCCTCCCAGTTTGGTGTCATCCACAAACTTGGTGAAGGTGAATTCAATCCCATCATCCAGATGATTTATAAAGAGACTGAATAGTGTAGGACCCGTGAACAATTCCGCTTGCAACTAGCTGCCAGTTCAACTTTGAGCCATTAACCGCCACCTTTTGAGCTTAGTAGCTTAGTCAGTTTTCCATCCATCTTGTGGTTCCTCTGTTCAGTCCATATCTTACTAGCTTGTCAACAAGGATGATGTGGGAGAAGATCTTAAAAATCTTCTTAAGATTAAGGTAAATGATGTCCACAGCTTTCCCCACATCCACTGAGCAATTTGTTTCATTACAGAGGGCAATCAGGTTGGTAAAGCCCGTGGTAAATATAGCTTCCCCATCACCACCTTTTCCTTCACGTACCAGGAAATACCTTTCATGAGGACCTATTCCATAATTTTTCCATGGACTGAAGTGGGGGTGACTAGTCTGTGGTTTCCTGGATCTTTCCTTTGAACTTTTTTGTAGATGGGTATATTTACCCTTTATCAGTCCTCTCAGGCTGCCCCGGATCTCCATGACCTTGCAAAGATACTCTCTATCATTTTTGAAGTGATGTCAGCCAGCTCTCTTTAGCGTCTTTGGATGCATCCTGTCAGGTCCAATAGACTTATGTCCAATTGGTACAGGCAGACTCACCCCTCCTTTACTGTTAGTAGTGACATAGAGACTTAGGGGCTGACCTTGTCTCTGAAGACCTGAAATGAAGACGGTGCTAAGTACTTCAGCCTTTCCTTGCTAGCTCCGTTCAACGGCAGACCTACATCTTTCTTGTACTTCTGCTTGCTACTAATTCCTAGAAAAGCCTTCCTTGTTTTTACTTACCTTCTCTTGTCAGTTTGAGCTCCAGCTGAACTTTTGCCTTCTCAACTCCATCTTTGGTCCTCTTTGAGAGTCTGTCCCCTTTTTCTGTCTCTCGTATGCTGCTGTATTTTTGCATTTGAGTTCTCTCAGGAGCTCACTGTTTAGCCAGTCTGGTTTCTTGTTATATTTGCTGCTTTTCCTGCCCTAGGGATATATACCACTTTCTGGGATCCCTTTTAACACTTTCCAGAGCAAGTTGAAATCTGCTTTTCTGAAGTCTAGGGTTTTTATTCTGCTATTTGTCTTCCTAATGTCCCTTAGGATCTTAAGCTTTGTGATCTTATGGTCACTGTAGCCAAGGCTGCTATTGATAGCCATGTCTGCAAACCAGTCTTCCTCGTTTGTAAGCAGTAAGTGCAGAAGAGCACCGCTCCTAGTCAGCACATCCAGTGGTTTTGTTAGGAAGTTGTTTTCAAGCTCCTGTGTTGCTTGTGCACCACTTTGCTGCTTTCCCAGCAAACATCAAAGTAGTTGAAGTCTTCTGTGAGAACCAGGGCCTGCAGGCCTGAGTTAGCTTTGAGTTGTCTGAGGAAGGGCTCATCCGTCTCTTTTTCCTGGTCAGGTACTCTGCAGTAGATGCTTGTCACAAGGTCTCCCTTGTTGGCAGTCTTTGATTTTGATCCAAGGCAGTCAGCAGATCTGTCAGCTTGCTCATAGCTAACCTCCATGCACTCAGACTGCTCTTCAAAATAAAATAGCAACACAACCAGTGATGTGATACCTAGATAGGCAGATATGTGCAATATGTGTATTTTTGTTTTTTAAAGTAGAAGTGTCAGTGAGTCAAAAGGAAAGGATACTATTTTGTTTTTCATATCCTGTAAAAAATAAAAATTAAAAAAAGTCACAAAGCCTAAAACTGATTCTATATAGAGCGTTAATTTTGATACCTAACAGAGAATGAGGACATAAAGGTAAGTCCTTTGATCCTGGATACTTTTTTTTTTTTTTTTTAAACTGGAGTGCATGAATCTTTTTAACCAGTTGCTGAAAGTAGTGAGATTTGGCAGTGTTATCCTCCACATGACTACTTGGAGATTAAGAGCGGAAACACTGTTTTCTGGGAGTTAGATTGAGTTAGTTCAGCCCTAACAGTGAGGTATGACGGAACAGAGAATACACTGGTCAGAAGACCTTGCAGTTGTTTGTAGACTGATAGGAAGTGAAAGTTTTTTAGCAAGAGTTTTGCTTTACATAAAGAAACTTGTTTACATACATACATTCTATTACATGCGCTCTGTATAAGTTTACATGTGTTATTATATATGCCTTGGGTAGATCCCACATGGCTTTTGTTTAAATATGTAAGGTTTCAGACAAACTTTTCAAAGCCAAAATGTAAAGTATACTTAACTCTAATACCAGCTTCATTAGATAAAAATGTTTTATAATTTGTATGCTTCCTCTTTTTCCTGCTCCCTAATTTTAGATTCGATACAAGACCAATGAACCAGTGTGGGAGGAAAACTTTACTTTCTTTGTACACAATCCCAAAAGACAAGATCTTGAAGTTGAGGTTTGTTGTCTCATTCTCCTAGGATATCTTTGCTAAGGCATTTCAGTAGTGATATTCAAACGTTACAGGCTATTATAAAATCAGATTGCGGATATATTGTGAACAGTATTAAAAATTATACTTAAACTGGTTTTTAAGACCAGGCTAAGAAATGTTTGTTTGCATTTACTATTGCTATTGTTATTGCTGTTAAAAGGAAAAAGACAACAGCCAAACTCTTGCCAGAATAACATACTATTTGACAATTGTCTAAATTTAAAAAAAAAAAGTTATCTGCTTTGAACATTAACAGTCTGCTCAATTGCTAGCAGAAATGCAGTTCTGTGTAGCTGATTCCTTTGTTCTCCCATCCTAAAGAGACCTTTACTTTGTTCAAATATTTTATCCCTTTATACTGCTAACATGTCATTTAGGCAGCTCAAACAGACTGAAGTAAATTTGAGCTGTTCTACCTATTGCTCCCCTAACAGTTGTGGGAATTCATTTTCACACATTTGTAAATTACATATTATTTACTTTGACCAAGGGTCAGCTGGGTAGAGATGATTTCTATCTTGCTGTTGAAAGAAGGGATGAGGAGAAATTTGGGTTAAGAACAAACTATGTAGTTTGGGGTTTGTTTTTAAATAAAACTTTGTTTTTTCTTTTTCTAACATCATATCATCTGCTTTATATGAGTTTACTTAGCTTCTGTGTTCCTTCAGGTCAGGGATGAACAGCACCAGTGCTCTTTGGGGAACTTCAAACTGCCTCTAAGCCAGCTGTTGGAGAGTGAAGATTTAACCATGCATCAGCGGTTCCACCTGAGCAACTCTGGTCCAAATAGCACTATAAACATGAAGATTGCACTCAGGGTACTCTAAAGCTTATCCTATTGTAAATGTCTGAAAGCGTATTCAAGACTGTTGAATCTTCTGGTCTTATACTTGTATGAAGAAGTCATTACTTTTCCTTTTGTGTTGCATTGCCTGGTGTCCTCTAGTTGTGGCAGTACTATAAACTATAAATATTTCCCCTAATTTAAATCTAGCCTATTTGAAAACCACAGAAAATTTTCAGAACGAAACAGAAATCAGCTCCATTAATTTATGCTCAGGTAAATACTTAGATTTTCCGTGTTTGTAGGTACATTGAACTGGAGTCTGAATTCCTCCAAGTCTCTTAAGACACAGTGGGCTTTAATTAGTGAAATCACTTCTGTTTTATAGAAATTGAATTGAGGTCATGATGCTTCGAAAGGAATCAAGTTTGTAGGGAGAGGAAATAACTTCATAATACTAGAAAAATTCAGACTGGCTTTCAGGTACACTAGAGACCTGAAGGAAAAGCTTGCGTGCCTGAATATTGATTTGTGTTTTTCCCCAACTATATTTTCCCCAAACTATAGTTTGCATCTCTGCATAGTCAAACTTTTGTAAAACGCTTGTTTCTTCTAAAGTACTTTTCATAATTTAGTTTTAACATACTAAACTATTTATGCTCTCTTATCTACTTGCATTAATAAATGGAAGTAACCTATGAAAGAATTTAAAGGCAATGAGTGAGAAGAAATTCTGATGTAGGATTAGATTTCAAAAGATGAGAAGAAATGATCTAGGAAAGTTTTTCCAAGTACCTAGAGCTGCAAAGTAGGTGCGCTTGCACCAGAAGTGGATGGACTGTGGGAAAGGAATAATGAGAAAAAATTCTAAATGACTAGAGTTTCACATTATCATATAGTTACTACAGTTGTTACAAAGAACATGAGGAGCTGTCTTTTGCTGTGTGAAATGTTTACTGTTATAGAGTGAATGAACCTAAGTCCATGTTTTTAGTCCTACTTTCATGTCTAAATTTAGCAGTTTGTCTCCAGTACTCTAGCAGAAACAGTTTTTTCCTTTCCTTTTTTTTTTTTTTTTGTATTAGAGGATGGTAATATCGTATGTATTTTTACTGTGTCTAGGTACTTTCTCTTGAAAAGCAAGCAAGATCTCCAGATCATCAACACTCAGCCCAAGTGAAAAGGCCATCTCTTTCCAAAGATGCAAGAAAACCTTCTTTTAAGCCTCAAGTACCTGTCTCACCACCAGCTGATTCAAACAAACCTGTCCCGGCTTCCCCAGTGATTGACAGCGATAAAAAGACTGATATGGCTGAAAAAAGTCAGCATCCCAATGCCAGTCCTCAGTGGCCAACAGATCTCAGCCGAAGTTCCTCAAGTCTTCATGCCTCTAATTTCACTTATTCTCCTAGCCACCTCTCAGTCAAAGAACCAACTCCTAGCATAGCCTCAGACATATCGCTGCCTATTGCCACACAGGAGCTGCGGCAAAGACTACGACAGCTTGAAAAGTACAGTACTCCTTCTTTTTGCAATACATCTAAGTTATTTTATAAAAACATGGTCAGTGCAACTGCCAAAACAGTCTGCTCAGTTTGTGTTTCAGTAGTATTTTTTTCTTACTGCCAGCACTGTAGTTTATAAACCTGACATTTGAAAATCAGTTTTTGAGCTTTCTGATTCATCAGTAAGAAAGATTCTGCAATTAGAAGTTAGCTTACCGTTGGGACAACGTATAAGATAAAGTCCATCTTGTTCTCATAGCTATGTTGGCTGTGTAGTGCTGAAAAAAAGAGTGGGATGAGGGGCGATATAATGTTTCAATATAGTATTAGTCACTTTCTTGCCAATAAACAGTTGCCTGTTTTGCCACTGCATCCTATTAGCATCGATATAAATTAAGTCAATTAAGCTGGATATAGCTGATCTTTATTAATTACTCAGGTTGTTGACTATAAAGAATATTAAACGAATAGTCAATTATTATTCAATTAATGAGGATTGCTGCAAGCCATTCTTGTTGCAATTGTGACTTCTTAAATTCTTTCCAATTTTTTACTTGCCTCAAAGGGCAGCTGTACTTGCCAGTAAAGATAGCTGAGAGCAACCATTCTGCTTTGAATAGGAGCATGGAAACCATTATTTCCCTGCTCATCTTGGTTACTTCTCTGTGAGTCTAAGTAAAAGACTTTTTTTTTTTCCATTCATAAGTAAGGAATTGAACTGATTCCTTACTTTCCTTGGCAACTTTTACAGAATCATAGAGTTAATTAGGTTGGAAGGAACTTCAGGAGGTCAGTTAACCCTCTGCTCAGAGCAAATCTAACTTCTGAGTTAGATCAAGTTTCTCGGGCCTTGTCCAGAGAAGTTTTGTTATCTCTGAGGATGGAGATTCCAGAAGCTTTACAGGCAGTTCCAGTGCTTAACCACTCCACTATGAAGATGTTCTTCCATACGTCCGATTGGAATTCTTTTCTTGCTGCAACTTGACTGTTATCTCTTGCCCTTTCACCATGTACCTCTGAGAAGAGTCTGACTATAATCTCCTTTCTAAGTAGTGAAAGATTGCAATTGGATCGGTTAGCCTTCTCCAATCTAAACAAACCCATCTCCCTCAGCATCTGCTTATACATTATGTGCTCCAGGACCCCTGTTTATCTTAATGGTCCTCTGCTGTCTTCTCTTTAGTTTGTTGGTCACACTTCCAGTCCAAAACAGTGCTAGACTTTCTTAATTGTGATAAACTATAAAGATCACTGTTTACTTAATAAAAACATTCTGTGCTTTATTATTTGGTAACACTAATAAAGGTGTGCATAAGGAGGTCCTTTCTTGCAGGCCCCATGTTTTTAGGTGCTCTGACTTGTTTAGTAAGAAAATTCTGAACTGAAATTTTTCATTCTTGTTTTCAAAGTAAATTATCTTGAATTTTTAATGTAAAGTTCTGCCATTACTTTGGAGTAGCTGCTCACAAAAGTAGAACGCCTATCCCTTTAAGATATTTTGTAGTGGCTGAAAAATGTCAAGCATGCCTTATGTGGTCCTGTGGGAGACAGACAATACTGACATTGTACTGCCCGATGTATAAAAAATAAATTTGCATTTTATAGAGATGGAGGAGCTCTGCACGGATTGGCCATTCTTTAAAAACAAAAATTCTCAAATCAGCATGTTGCTTTCTTTTTACTTAAGCATGACTTTTATTTGCGAAAGTTCATTTTAATCTTTTTTTCAATGCCCCATCAACATCAAAAGTAAAACAGCTGTGTGAATACTGTGTGATTTGAGCTTTTAAGACCATAAGCGTGATTATTTTGAGGCAAGAATATCTGTATTTCTAGTTGTAAGTTTGAGGTGGAAAGTTAGTCTTATGAAAACTTGTTTGTTTTCATGACTTTTATCTTACATCAGTGGTGTTAGAGAATTTAGAAAAGAATGAGCTGGTCTTCTAACTGGTTCCTGGCCGCTGCTGAGAGTGGCCCATCGCTCTGTTCTTCACTGTGGTTTGCACCGTTATTTTTCAGTTTGCTAGGTACTGCTTTAATCTTCACCTTAAAGTAAGCGAGTTGTTTTCTGATAATAGTTTTCAAAGTAGAGATGAACAGCTGGTCTCCAAAACTGACAAGAACTCCAGCTCATTCTTTTGGAGGGTGGAGTTGTTAGACAAGGTGCTAAAGTACAAGAAACTGATGAAGATGTGCTAATGTGCTCACTTCTGTGTGCTGTCCTTCACACTGGTCTAGTGGAAATTTAAATGGATAATACAAGATAGCTGGAAACACTACTCAGCTTGTATTTCAGATGGCTCTTACTGTAAATATGCTTCTTAAAAATTAATGTTCTGCTTTTTCTCACAGTGGAACAACTCTGGGGCAGTCTCCGTTAGGACAGATTCAGCTAACAATTCGTCATAGTTCACAAAGAAACAAACTAATCGTGGTAGTGCATTCTTGCAGGTGAGTACAAGATATTGAATTCTAGTTCTGTGCATATTTCTTTGTGAACTTCATAATATCTTGACTTACCCTCTTAAATGGTTTGGTTGTCTGGATGGTCTTTGTTATTTTTAAAATGATGTACTGATTGTAATTATGTGTAAATACCAAATCATACAGCGCTATCCTCAGAATCAGTAAACCCTTGTTGAAGATTTTGTTTTGATTTCTTATTTGCCTATTGTGTCTCTATCATATCTATATGCCATTTTCATCTAGAATTTTTATTAGCAATGTCTGAAAGTTATATTCAAGGGACTGAATTTTTTATAGAATGACGGAAAGATGATTTTGGAAAGCCATATGTCTAAACTATGAATTGGAATTTAAGAAATACACTGCATATCCAGCTCTGTTGTCTCTTTACCATTTGTCTGATATTTTACAAGTCACTGCTTAGCATTTTTCAATTTGTTTCTCTTCCGTTGCCTTATCCATTACATGTAAGCAATATGCTTGTACTTTGTGCAGGTTATCCCACAAGAGATTCATATGAGGGTCCTAAAATGAACACGCAAATAGTTTTCAAACAGGGGTTACATTTCAAGAGATTTTCTTCAACAAGTTTGATACTTAATGCATGGGAAGCATCCATATGGTCATAAAATTAACTTTATTTAGGTATAGAGTACTAAATTCAGTAATAGTCATGTAGATGCTTGTATTTAAAAATGTCTCTCTTATTTTCTAAGTGTTCTTCCTTGTTGTTCATTGGTCACAGAAATCTAATAGCCTTTTCAGAAGAAGGATCTGATCCTTATGTTCGAATGTATTTACTGCCTGACAAGAGAAGATCAGGAAGAAGAAAAACACATGTATCCAAGAAGACATTAAACCCGGTGTTTGATCAAATGTATGTTCTAAGCTGTTTTATATCATGTAACTACAAAGCTGCCAAACCAAGGTTGCTCAGCCTAACTGAGTGTGCGAACTGTTGAAATCACTACTTGTCAGCATCAGATTATGTGCTCACACCTCTCTCTCCTGTAATATTCCTGTCATCCTGTACCCCGTTCTCGCTATAGCCCTTCATATTCAGCCACTTCCGTCGTCTTTTCTGCCTTATCCCGTGTCAGTTACTTCCCTTTTGTGCTAGCAGCTAAGAAGCAGTGAGCACTTCTTGGGCAGGTGGTTGACCAGTCAGAACATAAGTACCTTCTAGCTGGCCAGTGCTATTGGCGTCCCTTCCAGCCAGCAAGCGTGTGGATTCTGTCTGGCGGGTTGCCTGGCTGATAGATTCCTGCCCCCTCAGGAGCTTAATGGCCGTCGACTGCCTGTGTATGATCAAATTGCTCAGCCAATCTATTTGGTGGCACACCTCAGCATCCAGCAAGTCTGGAAGTTCCCCTGTGGGTTATATCCTGACCCACAGGTTATAAATTGTGCAAGATTTTGCACACTTCCTTTGCATGCAAATCCTTATCTACTCAGGTTTTTGATGGTGGTTTCTCTCACACACATACCCCTACCCCCCAACAATTTTCTCTGCAGACAGAAAGTTAATTTGGGGAAAACAATACCTGAGACAGACCTATATGCATTACCACTATGCCACTTAAACGCTGTGATTAGTCTATTCCAGCATTCCCATTGTTGCTATTATGAACCGTCCTGGTTGTGAGTTGCAGGTTTGTTTTTCCAGCTGGCCTTATCTGAAGAAGGGAAAGTTTGTAGAAATATCCTGCTTAACATAAGAGAGAAACAAAGTTTAACATAAGTGAGGCTGGAATAACTTCAATCTATTCTATGCCTGTGAAGTCTGCAAATGATTAGTTAGAGGCTATGGTAAATGTTCCTGACAGTACAGCACTCTCCTTTTTATCTCAGATTTGTTTTACTGTGCCTTTCAAATTAAATTTTATTGCAAAGCAATAAGACTGGGTAAGAGCTGTAGTGACAAATAGAGGTAGATTGTGGTCTTGTCCTCACTTTCTCTGAGTCTCAGATCTAGCAAATAAAAACCTTCCTTAAAAGTGGATAGGTTTCCTTGGTGTTACAAGAAAGCTTTTTCTGTGCTTGTATATACTAGGAAAGAAAAGGATCTCTGGTCCTAGAAGAATGAGGATCAATAAATGTATATGTAGAAGACGACTGACCGTTCTTTCCCTTCTGGAGAATAGTGGTACTGAGCTGTCAGGATAGTAGTATTTCTCCTCTCTTTTCCATAGAATTAGTACTTGGCCTATTTTTCTTACCAGTCACATAGCAGAAGTCTCAAATATTTGATGCTGATGCTAAGCATCATATTGAAGAGTAATTATAGGGGATTGGGATTGTTTTCTTTGTTCCTTTATATGAAACCTCATTTTTTGGTTTGGTAAGGGGTACGATTTATTTTTCTTTTGAATTGCTGTGTAGCTGAAGGAACTGAACTTGCACTCTAGGTACAAAATTCTTCCTAAAACATCATCTCCCATGTCAGATTTGATTTCAGTGTTTCCCTGCCTGAAGTACAGCGAAGAACACTAGATGTAGCAGTGAAGAACAGTGGTGGTTTCTTGTCCAAAGACAAAGGGCTACTTGGCAAAGTAAGTTGAAAACAAGCAAATTCCTATCGTGCGGTAGCATGGTGTTATACGAAAACTAAAATGTTTGTTTGTTATGAACTTGCTGGTGTTGACTTAAGTACTTGAATCAGATACGACGCTTTTAAAATTGTGGATAGCTTAGATGTCAAGCTTCAGCTAGGAAAGGAAGAAATTGCAAAGGAAAGATATCAAAAGATGAGACAGTAATCTGTTCTTGAGATGCGTACGTTTTGAGGCGGCAGTAACAGAAGAGACCTACGTGTCTGATTTGTTAGTCATACAAATGAAGAAAATAGCAACCAGTAGAAAACAAGTGGTAATTCAGAAAGTGGCCTTACAAAACTGGAAGTCTTGAAAACAGTTGGTCCAGACTTTATTTGCAGGAACAATGACAAGGAAGTGTTTTATATCAAACTGAAAAGACAAGTAAGGGCATGTAGAAAAGCACACAGAAGAAATTAATGTTTAGTAATTAAAAGAACAGATTGTCAAATCCATGAAAAAGAACTCCTGCTAGAGACCTTTCTAATGCCAAAGCAAGCTATTGTGTTCATGCCTTCGCTGTTCTGTAGACACTCATTAAATCGCTATTTTCTACACAAATGATTTGGAGCGTGGAAAAGGGAATAGTAAGTTTTTAAACCCATGAAAGTTGCCATATTCGAACTCTGTAAAGAGGACAAGAGATTTCAGAATTGTGGTCAGTTTATGGTGAACGGCATTCTTCAAATTTCCTCTTTACAAGGAAAGCTGTTGTGCGAAGCATAAACGCATCGGTTGGTTGCCATTGCCAGGATATGCCCTGTGGAGAAGTTGTGCCTGTGAGTTGATCTGGAACTAAATCACCTAAAGGTGTAGATTTTTAGGTCAAAACCAGCAACTTGAAGCTTTACTAGTAGTCTACAGAGGGAGATACCCATGACAGAAAGGACTTAAAATGTTCTTTAATAAAGGCATTACTTATACTGTAGTTTGCAGGATTGTCAAATTTGATCTTTAAAAAATGTACTTGGAATATAAGACGCAAATGATGCATTGATTACTGATTTAACTTTCCATAGTTACTGATACCTCTGGCATCTGAAGAACTTGCTAAAGGCTGGACCCAGTGGTAAGTGAAATAATATTTCATTTTCTAATAATAGTAATACACACAAATACCTGTGTGTTAATAATAGCGTTAGTAATGCACACTAAACGTAAATGAAAGCTCTCCTGTATTATTTTCATTTTTAGGTATGATTTAACAGAAGATGGCACCAAGCCACATGGTGCAAGCTAGGCTCCTGGATACTGGGAATCTGCCACACACATTTTTGCCAACCTTTATATATTTTTAAAGCATTGCTCCCACAGATGTACCAATATTATTTTTATAGCTTCACTGATTTAGTTCTTAGACACATCCCCAATAATTTTATAACACTCGTTCATTTTATGTAGACGTAGCCTTTCGCGTCCTTAAACTTTGTATTTTAATTTGCTAAACAATTTTATGTGTTACTGTAATGTGCAATAGTACAGTAAAGTAACCTTTTATGTTTAAAATGATCTTTATGGCAGTTGTACCTAATAGAAAGTGAAAAGAGGATGTTCTGCTGTTTTTCCTGCCTTGTTTTATATATCACCAAGGTATACTGTACCATGTAAATACATACTATTTTTTTATAATTCTTCCATACTGGCTTGAATTCAGAAGAAATTAGATAAAGGATATAGATATTTTCTTCTACGTGCATGTTAATTTCATTAGATGAATCTCTTTTGTCTTTGCGGCACAATGATCTTAATGTTATTCTTTTTGTAATATTCTTCAAAAACAAACTGCAAAAGGCATTATTGCTTTGGTGTGTTTCTGGCCTAGTATGGCTAGTTTAAAATGTACAAAACATTAAAATTTTAATATTTATGTATAAATGTATTATTGGAAAATCATGCTATAGAATATTATAAACAAAAATAAGAATTCTATAAGTAATGTATAAAGAGAGGATGAGGTCCATGAATCAATTTATTAATCTGGGTTTTCATTTGGTGGAGGAGGCATAACAGTGCAGAGTTTTATTATACAGGTTCTCTTGTTTTTTGTTATTTATTCCCATACTCTATAGTACTAGACATGTGATCTTCTGAACTTATGAGTACATGGATTTTTCTATACTATAAACAAAATCTTTAACTTAGAACTGTCCTTACCTGCCTTGTTTCATTGATTTATAAGGTATACAAATTAGCTTGCAGTGTAGTTTCATACAGTAGGCATAAGTACAGGGCATATGTTATTTTTATTATATTATTAAATACTATGCTAAATAGAATATTATAACTTCTGTAGTACTAAAGTGGAACACCAATAGGTAATAAAGCGTAAAACTGAGTTAGAACTAACTGTCTTTACAGTTCCTTCATTGCTACTTAGTGTGTTTGGTGCATAAAAAAATGCACTTCAGTGATCCAGACAGGTTTCCTGAGAAGTACTGGCATTCTGCTGAAGCGTTGCCATGGTCTGCTGCGCGGCCAGCAGTCATACAGTTAGCACATACTGATATGAATTGCCAGTTGAGAGTTGAGAAAGTACCAACCTAAATAGTTGAGCTCTCAACTCTAATGTTACGAATTACGGGGAAACTTTTGTATCCAGATCTGATTTTTCTTTCTCGTAAGCTTTCTCAGACTGTTATAAAAATGTGCATTATGAATCCAAGAGAACAGTTCAGCTCTTTCCGAGCTGATAGCCTCAACCCTGGATAAGTATGCAATTAGACAGACAAAGTATATTATTTAGCTAAGATTCTAGAATGATCTCTCAGCCAAGAAAGAATTTTTAAAGCAGAATAATAAACTCCTGAGACTAGCTTTATTGTAAAATTACTGACAGAACCTTAATTCTAGATGTAGAATATGCCTACATTACTAGATGTACCAAAGTGCCTACCATAGACGTAGCTTTGTCTTTTTCAAGTTTAAGAATTGACTCATTATTCATTTCAGTTGGTTTAAATTCAGTTTAACCTGAGCATTTGTTGCACAGATGTGTGCTCACACACACACACACACACCTCTATACAGTGGTAGCCTTCTTATTGCCACATTTTATACAAGACAATTTTAGCAAACAAACTTTCATGGCGAATTCTGCTGGGTTAGTGTCTGATGGACTGGGCAATATAGAGAGGTTCTTTGTATCAGTAAGAAAACTTATTTCCATTTGAAGGCTTCGCTGTATATTGGAATGTATGTGTATCTATATATACATACTCATCTGTTCACATAAAATGTAGTGTACCATGAAATATAATTTTTTTTGTTAGTTCTCCGTTAAAAGAAATTAGGAAATTGCTAACTAAGAGAATTACTGTTAATGTAATGAAGATGCAGAAAGCTAAAGGTGATGTAAATAAAGGAGGTGTAGTTCAGCATAATTGTCTTTTGCCTCAGTTCAGCCATAGGTGGAAGGACTTTTGCTGTATATCTTGGCCAGTGACTCCCAAGAGTGTCATCCCTAGCCAGCAAATAAGCTGTTAGCCTGATTCAGTGTTTCAAGTCTTAAGTGAACTCTGGGGTCAGAAAATGTTAAAGACTCTGCACTTGAATACAAAAAAACCGCGTATTTCCTCTTTGAAAGTCTCCAGAGGAAAAAAAAACCCACTGTGTCAGGTAAACGTGAGATGGTAGTACAAAGTGAGCAACTGAATACATAGGGCAAGTTTTCAAAATAGCTCAGCACCTAAAATTAGGGATAGATTCTTAAGAGTGCCCAGTACCCATTTAGGAATCTAAAATGAAGAAACTGGATTTTCATTGGAATTCAGCAACAGCAATTCCTACTGGAAATAATAAGCCCTGTATGCCAAACTCTAGAAATTTTCTCCTCAGTGAATTTGGATCAGAGTAAGACTGCCTAGATGAGACTCCTTCTGCTCTTTATAGTGTAACCAAATCTCTGTATCATAGTTACCGAGTCCTGAGTGTTCTGTTTATACGGAAGTAGCAAGGAAAAACGTATTTCCTCTGGGTGAAAATCTGCACCTCATTATCAAGTCAATGTATTGATTATCAGCTGATAGCTTTTCATGTAGTTCTTGTTTATCCTGTGCCTTAAAATATGAAAATATGAAGATGTTTAAGAAATGGCTAAAAATAAGATTTGTTACCTGTATGTACCAACACATGTTCTCTACTATTGAAACTGTTTATAAAATTACTCTGCTCCACTGACAGGAAAATCAGCTCTCTTAATTATAGCAGTGGTATAACCCAAACTCAAATCAGCATGCATATCGCTTGGATTTGGATTAAAAGAATTTTAATTTTCTGTCTTAAATCCTTTATCAGAGCTGCAGAAAATGGTGGGAGTTGGAATGAGAACAAAGGGTAATCAATTTTGTACAGATTGCCTTTTTTGCTCATGTAATTCTACATTATGATGCATGTATTTATTCAATAAATGGTTCATATGGAAGTCAGTGTGTTGCTTTACACACACACACACACACGCGCACGCGCGCCCCACTTTCCCCCCTTCTGCATATCCCTGTCCTAATTTTTAATTTAGCATTTTTATGCTGTTAAAACAGTCATATGCACTGGCTACTCTAACCTAGGTAGCATTCCTATAAGATATATGGGTAGATTTGGGGGTTCTTTGTTTTTCAATTTGAGAAAATTTAAATTTAAAAACTTAAACAGTCAGTTGAAAGAATTGCCAAAATTATAGTGCCTTATTTTCTTAAAGGACCCTATGGGCTGAAATCTTTTTCAGAAGGTAAAAGAGAATTGAAAAATGTAGTATCAGTGAGAAGTCTCTAATAGATACTTTCATATTAAGAAATGTGTTAAACCATTCCTACATGACAGATTTTTTTTTGTCACGATGAATTGACATCTTCTGTGCGTAAGATCCGTGTGTGTATATATAGTACTTATGTTCCCCTGAAATCTGTTTTGAAAATATATATCTTTTTCATAATTAAGCACCTGAATTACAGATTAATCATTGATTTTTATTAAAATGTTACTGGGTGTGACTGTGCTTAACATAGTACTTGAGATGGTTTAGGTTAAGCCCTAGACAAAACGTTTTTGGAAGTGACATTATATCTTATAATTCAGTTAGCTGAAAATTAACTAGGGGTTATTGCATGCAAAACCTTTTAATATCAAAAGTTTTCTCATAATATTTAGTATGAGGGTCCCACAGAATCATAGAATGGTTGAGGTTGGAAGGGGCCTTTAAATGTCACCCTCCAGTCCAACCCTCCTGCTCAAGCAGGGTCACCTAGAGCGTATTGCACAGGATTGTGTCCAGACAGCTTTTGAATATCTCTGAGGAAGGAGACTCCATAACCTCTCTGGGCAACCTGTGCCAGGGCTCTGCCACCCTCACAGCCAAGAAGTTTTGCCTCATGTTCAGATGCAACTGCCTGTGTTTCAGTTTGTGCTTGTTGCTTCTTGTCCTGTCGCTGGGCACCACGGAGAAGAGTCTGGCCCCCTCCTCTGGACTTCTTCCCCTCAGGTACTTGTACACACTGATGAGATTCCCCCCTCAGTCTTCTCCAGGCTGAACAGGCCCAGCTCCCTCAGCCTTTCCTCATAGCAGAGATGCTCCAGTCCCTTCATCATCTTAGTAGCCCTTTGCTGGACTCACTCCAGTAGCTCCATGTCTCTCTTTACTGGGGAGCCCAGAACTGGACAGTACTCCAGGAGAGACCTCACTGGGGCTGAGTATAGAAGGAGGATTACCTCCCTCGACCTCCTGGCAACACTTCCTAATGCACCCCAGGATACCATTGGCCTTCTTGGCCACAAGGGCACACTGCTGGCTCATGTTTAACTTGTTGTCCACGCACTTGCCTTTGTTGAACTTCATGAGGTTGCCTGTACTGGTGCATGAGGTTATTCCTCCCCAGGTGCAGGACCTTGCACTTCCCTTGGTTGAACTTCATGAGGTTCCTCTCCACCCAGCTCTCCAGCCTGTCCAGGTCCCTCTGAATGACAGCCCTCAGGTGTCTCAGGCATTCCTCCTAGTTTAGTATCATCAGCAAATTTGCTGAGGGTGCGCTCTGTCCCTTCCTCCAGGTCACTGATGAATAAGTTGAACAGGATGGGACGTAGTAGTAACCTCTTGTCTACTCCACTAGCTACAGGTCTCCGAATAGACTCTGTGCCACTGATCACAACACTCTGAGCTCTACTATTCAACCGGTTGTCCATCCACTTCACTGTCCACTCATCCAGCCTGCACTTCCTGAGCTTGCTTGTGAGGCTGTTATGGGACACTGTCAAAATGGTTGCTGAAATCAAGGTGGACAACATCCACTGCTCTGCCCTCATCCACCCACGCATTCATTCCATCATAGAAAGCTATCAGATTGGTTAAGCGTGATTTCCCCTTTGGTGAAAGCATGCTGACTACTACTGATCATTTTCTTGTCCTTCATGTGCTTGGGGATTGTATCCAGGATTAGCTGCTCCATCAACTGTCTAATTATCTATGGTGCTAATTGTTTATCTCGTTTAGTTGAGAATTGTTTTCCTTAAATCCTTAGGTCATCGGTTACTTTATCACACCTTTTTCACATTGCTTCATCTTTCTCAGATAGCTAATAACAGTTTTTTCAAACTTTCCTTGTATTGGTGTTCCCCTGTGCTCCAAATCCCTTAAAATACTGC